GCATGCACTTCCTGTACTTGTTAGGAAGTGTTGATTGTTCTCTTTGGAATGAAAGAGACATCCCTGCCTGTCTCCAGCCACACTGTAGCAGCAATGACTGCTCATTTTCTGTTGGACCCAAGATTTTGCAAAGTCTGTCCAAATACCTTGATCCCTATAGGGATCAAGATGCAGGCACCTCCGTTTGATCCATGCACCTGTGCTTTCATGTTAGTACAGAGGAGAGGCCATGCCTTTTGTTAACAGTGGTTCAGCTGAATAGTTTTTAGCAAAGAAATTTATTTCCCAACATGGGTTAAGCTTTAGGAAGGCTGGCACAAAAAAATAAAAGAAGTGGAGAACAAGATCCAGCTTTCCTTACTTACTTGGCTCCAGCCTCAATTAGAAGACAGGCCTTGCTGTGAATTTTTCCCCTCAGCACTTTCAGGACTAGCTCTCAATAGGCCTTAGCTCATTAAAGCAGCTGAATTTTTCATGCCCTAATAAGTTTGTTAAGAAAAGGATTTCAAGCAGAAATGTATAAACAGGGCAGATATATTTATAGGAATGAGCCAATGATTCACTATCAGGATTATAAATCACATATTCCTCCACAGTTTGAAGTAAATGGAAATTGTTTTTGATTATGGTCCCTAGACTGGGATATAGTTAGTGCTAAATGCTGCCTTAAATCCAACCCAAAAATCCCTACATATGTAAGCAGAGTATCAGCAGCTAGATCAAGGGAAGGTATAAGCTCTATATACCAGTTAAGTTACCAAATATTTTATTGTCATAGACAGTGAAGAAATTAAGTTGACCTTTAGAAATCTTGATATTCAGCTTTTTATTTCTCTCCTTTCCTTTGTCTTCTTTCATTTAATGCCCACTTGCTGAAGAGCACATACATAAAAATTCAGTAGTGTATTCATGTTACTGTTAGGCTTTAAGCAGCCAACACTAGCTTTGGAGAGTTCACATCTAAGTCACTGTGACACAGGGTCTATGGGGTTTAAGATAACAGTACTGCATCAGTTGCATACAATACATGTTTGGAATTTAATCACCACCACAACTGTAAGGGATGTCAACACCAGGGAAAGAACAGGGAAGGAGTAGGCCACTGAAGTCTGTCACACAAACAAAGCTACCCTAATTCAGACATTTTCTACCTTGACTTTGCTCATTCATTCCATTTATTGACCAGCCTGTTACCCCACCTTAAAGTGATCAGCTGAACAGCTTTAAAAAACAAAGGCATTAAAGCATTTATTAGAACAGTAACAAGTAATTTAATTTGTAACAAGCTAGGTGCTTATGCCCAAGTTGAAGTTATTTAAAAAACAATTATAAAAACTTTAAAACAGTATTAGCGTGGTGACACATTATTGAAGACTGAACAGTTATATAGGATAAGAACCATAACAGCCATTTTTAAAAATAATGTATTTATGCTAGGTAGGCCGCATGCTAACTATTCAAGCTCCATCTTCTTATCAGTTTCAGTTACTTTATCTCAATCAAATTTATCAGCACCTCCCTTCATTTGAAGAATAACATTTTTCATCTGCCATTTTCTAATCTAAAATTGTAATACCTGGTCACCAGCCACCCAGCAGTGGGGAACATTAGTCTAGTTGTGGGTTTTGAATGGAAGATTCCCTAAAATAGATGAAATTTCATTCTGCACGTGCAGTAGCATGTGGAAGTGTTAAAGGATTTTCTGCTACTATGTAGAATGCAATACAACCCATTCCAACATGATGAAAGAGCAATTGCTGGAACTGTACTCTGCATTGTTTTACAACTGAATGGGCTGTTTCTTGCTTTATAAAATATGCTCTCTCTGCCAGAATTAACTATTGCCAATTTAAAAAAAAATAGGAAAACAGCCAATGTAAATGCCCCAAATTGAATCAAAGGGCCCTAGACAGATGTTATACGTCATGCTCTTTTAGTATGACAAAAAAAGGAAAAAAAAAAGCCTCCAAAGGTTCATACTGTTTGTCTCATTAAGAAAGTGCCTGATGTCACAAAAAATGGGCCATCCATCATTAAAAAAAAGTTGCAGCTACTGCTGCAGGAAGCCTTTCTGCAACAGACTTGTTTATACAAGTCTGTGTCCCCTAAAGTGCTCTGCTCTCCCTCTTCCCTGCCCCCTCCCGGAGGAGAAGAAAGAGGGGACTGCTGGTTCTCTAGTATAACCCATTGAGCTGGCAAGCAGCACCATCAGCAAGTGCCACCAGCTGGCAACAGTTGTCTGAGTTCTCACACTGACAAGGACTGGTCAGACCATCTCTGCTACCTAATCAGCCCTTGCCACCTCAATTGGCATCGGCAGCCCCATCACTACTGTTTCAGGGCCCAATTACAGTAGACAGAGATCTGAACATCTCTTGCCACTATGGGCAGCTTGCAGGAAACCCTATTACCACAGCCCTCACAAAGTAACAGGGCCAGGGAAGCCAAGGACCAGCCCCATTGCCTCCAGGCTGGAGAGCATGCCTTTGTAGCACACTTTTTATGACTCACCATTTTTCTTCCACTCCAGGTGGCTGTGGATGTATGGATACTTCCGTTACAAACTACTTGGGTAACACTACAATTTCTGGCACTAAAAAGTATCTAACACCAAAGTTATCATTCAAAAGGTTCTGGCCCTAGAACAGGGGTATCTAACTCCATCAGCCCCCTAGGCTGGATCTGGACCATGGGGCATCTTACAGGTCATACTCAGATGCGGACCCAGCAGCAGAAAGAGCAGCAGAACAGTGGGCAGCATGTATGCACATATGCACATAAACTAAACACAGCAATCACCCATGCACAACGCTCACTGCCAGTGGGGGTTCTATACAGAGGAATTTGGCAGTAGGACCCACCCCTGAATTTCCACCCTGGGCTGAGTAAACATGACCTGCAGGCCACATCTGGCACCTGCCATAGAAAAGTGAATCGAGATAGAAACAAATGCTTGATTTCTTTGTGACATTAGGGTTGATTATATTTTTTCTGCTTACAAGAGCTGAAGAGAAAAAAAATAAGTGGTCAGAAATTTGTTCTTGGTTGTGTCTAAAAAAATCATCATAAAATAAAGAACATCAATGTTACTCAAGAATATCACTTCCTAACCAGCAGCTGACTGAAGTGCCTTGTTGCATGTCTGAAGATCTACCTGCAGTGCATAAGAAGGCTTACTCAATATGGATGCAACTGAGTGCTGTACTACATGATGCCAAGATGTGGCTGCTGCTACATGCTTGTCCTTGAAAAACAGATTTTTTCCCTTTTGACAAAATGGTGCAGCTCTTCATTAGCGATACTGAAGATCCAACATGGGTAATATGTGTGCAATCATCTATCACTAAAGCTCAAGAAGCTTTGTGACCTTTCTGCCAGTCACAACTGAAATGATCTACTCAAGATTTAATTCTCCCCTCTTTCTTTGTTGCCGCTCTTCTGCCCTACCCCCAAAACCCACCAATATGTTGGGTTGTGTGGGGATGTTCAATTGTATATGCCCCCACCTCATTGAGCAACAAAATTAGACATTGCTTCACTTCCATTGTCTCTCAGATCTCCATCAAAAGATCGGCAGTGGCACATTTAATTTTCTGTACTTTATGATGAAATGCCAAGGTAACAACATTTTGATGCAGGCCAGGTTTCTTTGCTGAGATCTAACACTAGCTGGATGCCTATCACAAGGGTGCAGTATACCATTTTTCCATTTTAGTTGTATGTGTCATAACCCAAACCACAAGCTGCACTTGACATTAAACAATTTTTCCATATTCATTTGTAATAAGGAAATTCTGTAAGTGAGATTTAAGCTTTCCCACTCCCCCCCAAAATAAACTGAGCTCTCATATACTGGAATATAAACTAGCCTAAAATATCTCTTTTCTACTAAACAGTATCTATTCGGTTCTAATTACTAGTGCATCAGAATATTACAATCAAGTGTTCAGATATACTGACTCCTTCCCCCCAGGATCACACGGAAGAGGAAGCAGAAGCAGACTCTGGTTCATTCCTGTGTACATTTGGGTGCTTTCCCTTGCACTGCTGAATAGAGCTGCCTGCTACTGGGGCAAGTAAACAGACCCCACAGTAGAGAAGCTCCTTTAGTAACTCCACATGGCAAGATAGTGGAAGAGGACAGCAGAATGAAAGAGCTCATGGAAGAGAAGAATAAGGCACGCCTGCCTCTAAACATGATACTGCAAGTATGAGAAGTGTGTGTATACAAGGTTGTGTGGACCCTTGTTCTTGGAGCTCTCATTTCTCCCCCTGCTAACAGAAGGCAGCATGATTTAAATTTAAAAAAAGACTAAACCAAAATGTCCAAATGTAGGCAGTGCTTGCAGAACTGGCAAGCTGGTAAGCTATTTCAATTGTTCTTAACATTATGTACGTATTTGGCATTGGTTCCTTGTAGCATCTGAGCTCCTTTCAGTAGTGCATTAAAGCAATAACAGAAACAAAGCTGTGTAAAAAAACCCCAAAAACTAGACAATGGGCAACCATGCTCACTACAATAGCTTACTGGAAGTGAAGGTAGTAGTTACATTCAATGCATTAGATATAATTTTCGCATCACTTAAAAATGAAAGTTCTGCAAGTATTTGAGATTAGGCACACAGAACCATGAAGTACTTCTTGAAAATTTAGGATGATGCAACTGTAACACAGCTCTACTTCCTCAGCTACTAAGTAACATTTTCAACATTACATACCTTCAAAGTCTCTCTTGTAACCTTAGAAACCTTTATCTGTATTCAAAAGTAGTTGTGAATTTTAGTACAGCAGTTACTGAAAATAGCAGTTACTGAAAATAACAGAAGTTGTGTAACAGAAGTTTGAAATGGAAAGTTTTAATAGTACTTTTTGCCCATTTGTACCATTGTAAAAACTTTGCTTAGAGCTGCCCATTTATCAAGTTTGAATAAATTCTAGAGAAATTAGTGCTCTCTTATATTTGCAGGCTACAGAACGCTAAAAGAACTTCAGACAGCGGCTATGAAACTTATGGGCTGTTTTAATATGCCTATCTATAGTTGAAACAAGCATCCAAAAAGTTATTCACACATCTGTATGGAAAGATCTGATCTAGTCACTGTACAGTAATAGACCAGACTGCCTCCCAGTAGCATAGTAAGTGGATTTCTTGTCCCTTGATAGAGACTCCAAAGTTCTGCTCCACCCAGGGGGTAAACTATGGGATCTGTCATTTAGCCTCTGGACTAGCAAGGCAAGTTTGCAGAAGGTAGTTAAGCTTTGCTTGTAGTCAAAGTGCTGATGTAGTCTTATCCACTGATCATTCTGTTAAAGCAGCTGTAGTTGTTCTGTGTTGAAAATAAATAGTTGGAGCCGACAGGTCATAAGGATGAGAGCACCGCAGTTGTACCTCAGCATAGCTGGACAGGGATTTTTTTTTTTTAACCAAATGAAAAAGGTCAGCTATAAAACTGGTCACTCATACTCTCTGCCTCACATTTGCATGGCCTGAAAGAAAGAGAAGAATCTTGAGTCAATTTGTTTTCCAAAGGCTGGCGGTATAGTAAACTCAAGTTTGCAATATTATTCATTAAATAAGAAAGTTAAAAGAAACTTAGGACAATATTCACTCAACATGGAGGCAGAACCAGATGCTAACTGCCTTACCTTGCAGGGCAGACAATAGGTGTCCAGGAACCTCCAGCAATTAGTGAAGATGGACAGTTTAAACACATGTAGTAACCATCAAAAGTATTGAAACAGTGCAACACCCTATGAAACTTACAGAATCTAAAAATCTGAATGGGAGCTTTGCATAAACCTAGATACATTAGCAGTGTAGTAATTCAAGATAACCACCATGAGTAAAGAGCTGGAGAGGGGGGAGGGGGAACATTTAAGTATGTGAAAATATATAGTAACCCTATACCACACCCAGAGTGCTTAAACATTTTAAAGTCACAAAACTTACCTATTAAAATGCCTTCCAAAAAAGATGACTATGGATCTAACTCTCAAATTAGACTTTAGATATTCAAGTAAGTTAAAGTTAAGCTCAGTAGATGATTATTTGTATATTACCTGAAGCACTTTGGAAAACTTGCCACCTATGTAGCTAGTTGGGGTGCAAGAGGAGAAAAAAAAGAGACCAGAACACAGACTCTTTAAAAAACATGAAGGTACATTAATTTGTAAGCAACAAAGTCTATATAGTTTGAGCATTTAGGACAGCCACCTTACTCCAAAATCAAGAGTAACATTCCTCACTTTTGGAGGACTGTCAAGTGTGCAATGCTGGGTTCTGTTTGGCATACTAGCTTCAACTGTATCTGCCCTGGAGAACTTTAATTAAAGTTTAAAAGTAACGAAAGTTCAGATGCACATAATTGCAAGCAACAAGGCTCCAACAGCTTGATGAGTTTACTCCTGCAGATTGATTCCAAGTTGGAAGACACTGGGAACTAGGATGACTTAATTTACGTTAGTGCTGTCACTTGCAAAATTTGCTATGGCATGCATTTGCTGGCAGATATCCCAGGACAGTACGAACAAGACTATTCATATCTGAAACTTGTAGTTTTTTAAAATGTCTTACATCTTTATGGCTTTCACTAAAGTTGCATACTTTCAGCGTTTATTTTGAGAACTAGTGTCAAACAAGTTCAACAGCTGAAATTGCACTAGTGTTTATACTAGTCAAGTTGCTAAGCTTCATGAACTGAGTTTTTAGAACCATCCACAATTACTTAATTTTGTATTGGCCAATATTGATATTCTCTTCAACTAGTGTTTTTCGGTACATTTAAGCTTTCTGATGGATAAGAACTGAACCGCTCCTTGGCATAGCCATTAACCTTTGTAGTCTATTTAATCATGCTTTTTTTCTAAATAGATTATGTATTGCAAATGAGAGGAATGGGGAGCAATCTGTTTAAGCCTTCCATATAGTCTACAAACATTTGGGAGTTTGCTCACTCACTAGTATAGATACTAGTTAAAAAAAAATCTGAAATTAGCAAATGGAAGGCATTTGGGGAGACAGGAGTTGCATTAAAAAACAAGTCATGCTTTGGCAAGTTAAATTTTACTCAGCATCAGCTGGGACGTAAAACAGCTACCAGACATGTCCGCTGATTTCTATAACTTTGCAATGTTTGGGAGTAATGAAATGCAAGCTGCACTTAAAGCTAAAGACTCCGCAAGAAATAAGCATGGGACCAGGAAAAGCGCATAAGATTAAGTCATCAAGACTGTGGTTGGGGCATGGAGGAAAATTTAAGAAGCATGGAGCAAAGAAATATGAATCCTATGAAGTTAGACTAAGTCTCCCAGGGACAAACAGTGGTTAGCTAGTAACAATTTCATACCAAGGACGTAAGGCAAGTAGGAGAGCACCTGTTGCTCACTTTCAAACGGTAGTAACTGACTGGAATTAAATGGACTTTAGCTATGACAAAATTGCATCCCAGGTGAAAAAGGTGGAATGTGCACAAGGGATTAGGAAGCAGTACTTTATAATCAAGGAACGAATGCTCGATCAATCACCGACTTATTTAATTGCGCAAACCAGAAGGGATTCAGTAGAATCAAGAATAGCTTTAGAGGCCTAGAAGAGTTACAAATTAAAAGCATATAGGCCTGCAAACACCTGGTGCTGTAGGCTTTCTAAGTATTCAGATGCATTACATGATGCATTCTGGTTAGCAATATGCTGGCATAACAGATCTGCCCAAAACTCGGGGGGGGGGTTGAATTTCCTAACTGCCAGCAACCTACTACCCACTGGTAGGTTCCTGCCCAAATCTCAAAGGCTGGGTACACTGACAGTTGTTTGCACAATTAAATAGGGGAATTAAGGCAAATCTGGATCTTTAACAACATTAGGAGTTTCAAATGCCTGCATTCTATAGCATTAGGGAAATTCGCCAAGTCCCTGAACTATTAGCAAATTTCAAAGAGCCATGGAAGACTGAAAAGAAGGAGGGAGGGGAAGGAAGCTTAGAATCCTAGAAAATTAGGGTTGGAGGGGACCTCAGGTTAATTCAGTCCAATGCCTGCTCAAACCAGGACCAGCCCCGACTAGACCATTCCAGATAAAGCTTTGTCTAGCCGGGTCTTGGAAACCTCCGAGGATGAAGATTCTGAAACCTCTGGGTAACCTGTTCCAGTGCTTTGCTACCCTCCTAGCGAGAAAATTTTTCTTAATTATCAAACCTAAACATCCCTTGCTGCAACTTAAGACCATTGCTCCTTGTTCGGTCACCTGTCACCACCGAGAACAGTCTAGCTCCATCCTCTTGTGAATCCCCCAGTTGAAGGCCATTATTAAAATCACCTCTCCATTTTCTCTTCTCTAAATAGGGGTGTGTGAAGCAGGCATATTCTATTCAGATTCAGCCCAATTTGGGGGATAGCAACTCAATTAATTGATTCAGATTACTGTCCAATTCAATTCAGCCAAATCCAGGTCTGAAGATTTGGTTATAAATTTGGAGAATCAGTGATTTGGCCACAAACACAGGTTTATGTTTTTTCTACATACCTTGAGGTACCAGGCACAGCCCATGAACCCTGAGATGGTGGGGCAGATGGAGCATCCCATGGGGGTGGGGGGCATGACATGGCAGCAGACCTGGAAGTAGACCAGCAGTACTTCCAGTCCACTTCTGGTGCTGCCACTGAGCATGTGGGGGACCCCCCACCCCAACTGGGCAATTGGCTACAGTGGGACACCTGGTACCCTCCCAAACCTAGGAGACACTAGTCACCGAGCTGGGGGCAGGGGGGGACTGCCATGCGCTGCACAGCAGACCCAGAAGTGCTTCTGGTTTGACCAATAAGCATGCTTGGGACCCCCCGCACTCCCATGGGATGCTCCACCCACCCCAGCATCTCTGAGGTATGTAGGAAAAAAAAAATAAATCACAAAGCTGTGTCTATGTCTGAATCATCGAATCTCTCCAAATCGAAATCAGAAGCCTTCAAATAGATTCAGAGAGACTAAAGGGTCTCGGATTCAGAGATCTGGCCGCTGAATCAGGCCAAATCTCCTCCGAATTGAAATTAGTGACTGAAGCTTCACCCAGCCCTACTAAAGCCCAGTTCCCCCAGCCTCATCACTTTATTGCCTTCTGCTGGACTCTCTTCAAATTTGTCCATATCCTTTCTGTAGTGGGGGGCCCAAAACTGTACTGGACACAGTACTCCAGATACAGCCTCACCAGTGCTGAAGAGAGGGGAATATTCACTTCCCTTGACCTATTGGCAACACACCTACCAGTGCAGCCCAGTATGCCATTAGCTTTCTTGGCAACTAGGGGTCAGTGCTGGCTCATATTCAGCTTATTGTCCACTGTAGCACCAAAGTCCTTTTCTGCAGAGCTGCTTGGCCAGTCGGCCCCCACCCTGTACTGGTGCATGGGACTTTTCCATCTTATGTGCAGGACTTTGCATTTGTCCTTGTTGAATCTCATGAGATTCCTTTAGGCCTAATCCTCCCATTTGTCCAGGTCTCTCTGAATCTTAGCCCTACCCTCCAGTATAATTTCCTATTCCCCACAACTTGGCATCATCTGCAAACTTGCTGTGGGGGTACTCAGGGCCATCTTCCAGGTCATTGATGAAGACCTTGAACAAAACTAGCCTCAGAACTGACCCCTAGGGCACTCCACTGATACTGGCTACTAACTAGACACGAGCCATTGATTACTTCTGAGCCCAATCCTCAAGCCAGTTTTCTGTCCACCTTAAAGTCCATTCATCCAGCCCATACTGCCTTAGCTTGCTTGCGAGAATGGTATGGGAGACTGTATCAAAAGCCTTGCTAAATAAAAATCAAGATACACCACATCCAGCACTAATCTCCTCATCATAGAAGGCAATCAAGGTTGGTCAGGCACAACTTGCCCCAGGTGAATCCATGATGACTGTTCCTAATCACCTTTTTTTGTCCTCCAAGTGCTTAAAAATGAATTCCTTGAGGATCTGTTGCACAATTTTTCCAGGGATTGACATGAGGCTGACTGGTCTGTAGTTTCCTGGATCTTCCTTCTTCCCTTTCTTAAAGATGGGCACTATGTTTGCCCTTTTCCAATTATCTCGGATCTCTCCTGGTCACCATGAGTTTTCAAAGATGATGGCCAGTGCTTCTGCAATCACATCAGCCAACTCCCTCAGCACCCTTTGGTGCATCCCATCCACCCCATGGACTTAGAAAAGTTGGACATGTATAAGTAGTCCACAACCTGTTCTTCCACCAAAATTTGCTTAAATGAAACCAAATGAGAAATGCCCTTATTGGATCAAAAAACAAAATCACAAAACAGCCCAGGATCTTTAAAAAATAGATGCCAGATAACTCACTGTTAAAAACAAAAGCCTAGCAGATTAGGGTGGAAAGGAAGACAGGGTGGTACCTTGGAGACTAGGCTCCTTCAGAAAGGCATAAAGTTTAATTGATGACAGTCTACTTCAGATACTACAAAATTAAGGTTCAAAACAATGTAGTTTAATATGACTACTATAAACAAGCTGGAAAAAAACAGAAGCAGCAGCTTTACCCAAGAAGATTTGTTGTATTCTGTGTTTTACTTCTACTATGGCTTATATAATATAGAAGCAGGAAACAGATGTATTTTTCTTGTTATCAATTTATCTGGAGAATTATGCATCAAGCTGCACTTTAGCCAGGACCTAAACAAAGTATATTGGCAAAAAAAAAAAAAAAAGTATAAATAAGGCTGCTGTTACCACAGCCATCTCCACCAGTGCTTTCCACCCCTGGAGGAATTCTGTATTAAGAAGGGATTGAGAGAACATTGAACTACAGAAAGTAATTTTACAAAATGCATTTGTAGCACTATGTTCTATTGCCTTTTGGTGCCCAACACTGCAGTTCCTTCAGACACAGGCATTCACAGTCTGAAAGTTAGATAAATAATTGATATGGCAATAGTACCTTGTTTCATTCGTCTGGCCAAATTTAGAGGCTCAGTTATGTCTAATAAGAAATACTGGCATGATATTTTGGAAGCTAGCAAGAACAAAGACTGAACTACTAGCTTAGAATTTCAGAAGTTTTGAATTGTTTTCAGCTTTTAAAATCAGTTTGATATTCTGTCCAGTCAGTGGCAGTCATGCACACATTTAGATCAAGTAACACAGAACAACAGTTGTACAATAAAAATATGCAAAACATTGTTGAGACAGGAGGCATTTCTTAGTTAAAAGATGAAAGCTAACATGAACTGTAGTGCAAGGTTTGCATACAGTAGGACTAACTCTTGAGAACAGACTGCTTCACTAGAAAACAAACATGACTCAACGGTCTTAAAACAATTCACCCAGACTTTTGGGAAGTGATGGACTGACAACCACTTTCAGAGTAAGACTACATGCAATATGCTTCACACTGAGTTAGTAGACCAAGTTTTGAATATTTTTAAAATCAATAAAGACAACTATCAAGATTAATACTAAAATGCATATTAACTTGTTTTATTGAGGCACAACAAGGCATTGCGAATAGCCCATACTTGAGGCAATCATATCAGTAGTGTAGTAAGCTGGACATTAATACAGTTTAGGGTAAGTGCAAACAATATACATTCACAGCTTTACTAGCAAGGCTACATCACAATTGATAAAGTGCCAAATTAGTGCTGATTCAGTAACCCAACTCCATGATTTCACCTTGCAAAGTAAGACCGCCACTTCCCAATAATGGAACCATGTATCTTCTATGAAGTCAGTATTAAGTGCAAAGCTAGTTTCCACCCCCCGCCCCCTTCCCATTCACCAAGGTGTTTGGAGCAGCTTTTCGTTTTTTGTTTTTTTGTAAACGTAACACTGGATTTTAGTCCTGATAAAGGAGGTATCCCGAGAAGGTAGAATATTTCCAGCTGCTTCCATAAATGGCTCCCCGATGCAGACGTAACCAGATCTGATCCCCCTGGAAGAGCTGTAGGACTGCATGGTTACTAGCAGTTTCATGGTCTGGAGCCCCATCATTTGCATATGCTGATACTAGGACCTCTTCGTTCTTCATAAGGTTCACATACAGTGGAACATTCACTGCCAACTTCAGCATGTGGAAGATGAATACATAGGTACCATTCACTGGACAATTGAACCTACCAAGCTGAATGTCAAATGTTTCTCCAAGGTTGTTCAGCAGAAGGTCAAACGCAATTGGCTGGTCTAGAGTTCCAGGGGCCAAATTAGATGTTCTAGCAGCAGAAAAGGCAACTCTCATCTGCTGGGGGAGGGGATAGACATGCACTGGTAGTATTGTGGCAGCTTGGCTTGTCACTGGCACATCGACAGGGGTGATGCTGCGGGAGTCTCCCTGCCCAGAGTCCCCACTGTTAAAGGTTTCATTGTCTCGCTCTGGACTGCTCACCTGAGAAGAATCACTCCATCCTGCTGTCAAAGATCATTAGCAATCGTAAATTTTTAGAAGTGGGACAGAATATGCTTACAACCTGCATTTCAAAAAACCCATCATGCTAGTTTGCATTTTACATGCAGGTTTATTCCACATGGGTGTATTGTAGTTATTACAGACAAAATGTGCAAACAGCTTTATTCAATATTAACACTACCCCATCTTGCTAAAAAATAAGCTGAACAAGCATGAGTGACTTAATTGGCTTCAATCCTTACTATTGCTTACTCCACACCCTAAAGGATTTGGCAGCAGCTGTCAATACTTAGGTGTGATATTTGCCAACTATTGCATACCACCTGTAAATTTTTCAGTGTCATCAGTGTTTAAAAACTTGGAGCACAGCTGACTGATGAGAAACAAGCAAGAGTCAAGCATAAGACAAGCTTTCAGAAGGAGCTATAATGTTAAAGTTACATCAGTACTGCACTTAATCTGAAACACCAGGTCCTGCCTGAGAGTACCTCACTCACTAGAGTGACCCAAGTACTGCTGTCATAAGAATTTTACATGTCTAAACCTAAAGGTAAGTAGTTTATACAAGTTCTTTTTATAATGGTATATAGAAGTTTATAACTAACTATTCACTCAAGTGAAAGCCAGGAAGATAATTTGATAAATCAGTGTTCTGTTAAACTATGGTGGCATAATAGCATCAATATAAAAAAATATCACTCAAAAAAACTTAAGGCCAATTTTGTTTTTCTATAAAAGGAACACTAATTGTTTATTTAGCACAGAGAAGCAGGGTTATAAAAGTATCAGCTTCTTTAAACAGCAACTGAACAAGTACATGGTCTCAAATCCTCAGCTACAAAGAATCTTTTAGATTTCCCCACCATCCCCCTAAAAGGGGAAGGAAGTCTGAAAAAGTGGCAGTTGTTTCATAGTCCTCTATTTTACCTGATTATAGCAAGTTCCTTCCCCCAGTTCTCATCTGAAACTTAATGCACAAGAACCTCAAATGATTTCATCAACAAATCCTTAGACAGGCTGCCAAATGATAACTAACCACTTTTCATGTATACAATTTTATTCTTCACAATAGAAAAAAATTGTATTATGCTTTGAACAGTCATTAAGGCTCACTACAATTCCCACTTGCTCAGGAGCAGATGCTAGCTCCCATCCTGAACTGAAGTATGATTATTCTTTGATTGCTACAATGCATTCTACACTATTTTTTCCCTCCAAAAGACAGGCATTTCAGATTCAATAAGGTTGTGTTTTAGAATCCATTTGTTCAGCTTTTCTACCCAAGCCTCTAAATTTAAAAAAGTTACAGCATCCAAGTCTTTGGTGCGGAGTTACATCACATCTATTTTCTACATAAATGGTATTCTGTGTTTATTTCTGGGATCAATTTTGACAGATTACCCAAAGACATGGGCTGAAAAAGTGGGACTGATACAGAATTGCCACATTGAATAATTCATGTCGATTTACTGGAGAAATTGTTTTGTTCTGAGCAGAACTGGAGATTAGTGGAAAATCAGAGTTCTCAGTATTACCTGCCTTCCTACACAGACTCAATATTGCAGCAGTTTAATAAATGACGAGGACACCCTAGCCTGATATCCCAGAGACTCACTTTTCTTTACTTGTAAAAAAAACAAAACAAAACAAAACAAATGAAATTGGTGCTAGGACTTATTTTACTAATTTTTTTTGTTTTTGGGGTTTTGTTTTAAAAAACAGTCATCATTCTAGGTGCAATTATATACTAAGTCTTACTCCACAGTTGTGCGGGGGGGGAACTAATAGCCTTACCTCTTGAGTTTGCCCGAGGACCACTAATTATCCCTCCTCGTTTATAGCATTGCTGGTAATTGATATCCTAGAATGAATAAAAAGTGTTAGAGATTAGCTCCCAAATACCCATTAGTACCCATAGACCTATCTATTTACACACACGCACAGTATTTTTAAGCACAGGTAATCTGCACTTGAAAATAGTTCAGAATCAGTAGGTGCTTATAAATTAATTTGACAGTGCAGAATGCATGTCCATGGGCCTCTAGAACAACAACTCTCAGCCAGCATGCCACAGAGCCCTGGGGTGCTAGGCAGTCTTAGCACAGTTAGGTGTACAAACCTGATTTCACAAGGAAAGCCCAGAGATTTCAAGTAGGAATCCACAGTGTTAAAATCATGAACTTGCTGGTCTCTGACAAAGCAAGTCACACCTATTAATTTTCTATAGTCAAAAAATGAATAAAAACCCTTAAGAGCCAGCATTTTCCAAGGAGTACCTCAAATCTAAAAAAAAAAGTTGAGAACTACTGCTCTAGGCAGTAGAAAAGCAATTTAGAAGACTGGCTGTAGTTTAGCGAATAGAAAGAACCAGCACTGACAAAGTTGCTCTAGTATGGAATCATAGGAAGATCTGCCCAGAACCTGGTCCTCAACTATCACGCACCTTCAGACCATTCCATTCCAGGGTTCTAGTTTGAACATTTTAGCCTGAATACCCTGACAATTGATGTGTAGTTGCATCTGATGCAAATAAGTCCCAAAATGGCAGATTTTAAGAAGTCAGACTTCAGCTGCAGATGAAGAATTAGAACTTGTGGTCAAAGTACAATACATTCCAGAGAAACATCAACCATTGCTTCAGATCACATTTAATCCAATATAAAAAAAAGTAATGAAGCAGGAACATGGCAGTCTGTTGGACTGTCGTGACTACAAAATTCCTTAGTAGCTATATTATATATAGCTAGGAAGGCAGAAAAAGAGAATACAGTACTAAGTAGTAGGCATACCTCCCTGTAATGCAAGGAGTATATGTTAAATCTACAAGCTTGATTCATCTTGAATTTTAGTTTGCTCTCCCGTTTAAGAGAGTTTGTAATCCTTCAACCATGCCAAAAGGATGCTTATGTTCAGGAAAATTGCAAGACAGGAAAACAATGCAGTGTGGATTAAATAATACCCCAGGCATAGGGCACAGAATAAAGACCTGTTGTAAATTAATAGTGATTTGATGCAAGGAGAGTTCCTTTCCTTCTTCCAAGTTGGCACTGGCCTGAACATCCCTGGTTTCTGTTACCAGACTTTAGTTGCTCAGATCGGAAAAAACACAAAAGCACAACACACCCAACCCACAAGATGATAAAAGTTATTATTTTTTAAAATACAAACTAATACTAGAAATCTGAGCAAGAGTTCCAAATTCCTTGATGGAAACAAATATGGTTGGCAGTCTCACCATGTTCCAGCTTGTGACAAAGGTCAATCCCTGGTTTTAAGCCATTTAGGGACAATACGTAAGATCCAAGTATGGGAGTGTAACATGCTACATGAAATAAGTGCTTTAGAGTCCCAATTATGCAGCTATTCAAGTGACATATTTCCATTCAACCACTTCAGTACACAATTACTCAGAAAATTAGGGTTGGAAGGGACCTCAGGAGGTCATCTGGTTCAGCCCCCTGCTCAAAAAAAAACAATCACCCCCAACTGGATCCCACCCAAGGCTTTATACCTAGCCAGGTCTTAAACTTCCAAGAATGGAGATCCTACAGCTTCTCTGGGTAGCTTTTTCTGGTGCTTTACTACTGTCCTCATGAGATAGTTCTTCCTAATGTCTAACCTGAATTTCTACTGCTGCAACTTGAGATCATTGCTCCTTGCTCTGTTATTTGCCACCACCAAAAACAGCCTAGATTGATCCTCTTTGGAATTGCTCTTCAGGTAGTTGAAGGCTGCTATTAAGCCCGTCTTCTCTTCTCTGACTAAAGCCCAAATCCCTCAGCCTCTCCTCATGAGTTATGTGCCCCAGCCCCCTAAGAATTTTTGTTGCCCTCCACTGGACTCTCCAATTTGTTCACACCCTTTCTGTAGTGGGGGGCCCAGAACTGAACACAGCACTCCAGATGTGGCCTCACCAGTGCTGAACAGAAGGGAAGAAACACTTCCCTCAATCTGCTGGTAATGATTCTACTAATGCAGCCCAGTATGCGGTTAGCCTTTTTCACAAAAAGGCATACTGTTGGCTCATTCAGTTTGTGGCAGACCAGTAGGGGTGCTCCTGCATTGAGCCACCCTGCGCCCGACCACCTTCCAAGCTCCAAGTGCCTCCCTGGAGGCATCTCATGTCCTGCCAACCCCCTTTCTGAAGCACACTCACTAGACTGGGGGTAAACACCACCACCACCCAGAGTCTGGATTGATCTTGGATGATGCCCCCTGGAAACACAGGCCTAGTAGTCCTTGAGGGTACTTCACCCACTACAAGAACTTGGGGTGCTTCCCCTCAGTCTGAAGCATAAATAGTGGTCTCCCTTAGTCAGCCGAACCAAGGGGACCCCAAAGCATACTCTAGACCCTCTCCCAATAAGTTTCCCATGCTAGGTACAGAGGAAAACTTTATTTGTTATAAGGAGTATGTTTGGAATAGGATACAGGGTAGAGTAATATCAGATAAATCCCTTACAGCAAACAGTGGCATGGTAGCCTTTGATTACACATCTGTGTTATTGCAAGCTATATATTTAGTTAGATCTCAAGCAGCTTACTCATGAGTATCATCCAGAGGCAGGTAGAATTTCCTCTCGAAGCAAGCAGTTCATTCACCATGAGTTTTTAAGAGAGAGCAAGGTACAGGCGGTCCAGCTTCTCTGACAGGTTTCATCATGGCTACTGCCCCTCCTCCTGGACAGTCCTTAACTTATATAGACATTATGACCTCATTTACCTGATCCAAAGGCCAGCAACTGTTGGCTGCTAGCCAACCAATCTGAAATGCATCACTGGTTGCCAGGTAGACTGGCAGGGTCTCTAGCTCCCTCCCTGTCATGATGGCATTGCTTAGAACAATAGGGAGTTTAAGCCCCCACCCAGGTATGTGGGGCAGTCACGTAGGCAGAGAAAGCAGGTTCCCCCCCCCCCCCC